GGGCAATATGCTGACTCTCTGTAAACCGCTTAGAGAGGGCTGAAAGCCCTATGAAGCGGTATATAAGTCTACTGCTATTGCTATTGCTATTGAGGAACACAACCCTCGGAGTTTCAGTTTATCGTTGTGTTTTTTAGGGAACCCCGACATAAGTGAACACAGGAGCCTCGGCGTTTTGCACACTTGACCAGCCGTCCCCAAGTTGCTCACCTGCTTGGTTCCGCGGAAAGAATAGACGTGATACAGAACAGGAATGACGGACGTCTCGGGAAGCGAAGGCAGCAGGCTGTGGTCCAGCTTGAGGGTTTGCACCATCAGTTCTATCAGCTGAAAACCCAGCTGAATCAAGAGGCTTGGGGGCCAGACGGCCTGCTTGGATATCAAGGAAGGACTATAGCCCACCTCTGCTCTCAGCTTCTCCCAATATTCCCGCGGCAAAAAACCATTCACCTGCAGAGGCAAGGGACAGGGTGGAGTTCATATTCCGGAGGCCAGCAGCAATTGCAATAGCACAGTAATGGCTAACATTTTGGTCCTTGCGTGTCAAAAGTTCGTGCCTGCCACATAATACAGTGCACGTGTGACCCCCACCCCACCCCCGTGTGCATCTTGCCCCCCTGCGCATGCAACCAACCCCGTGTATGTACGCACGACTCCCTCACCCCATTTTGGGCTTAGCAGGCCTCCCTGAAGCCTCCTGGCACCTTGCTGCACCCTCCCGTATGTGTGCATGGCCCCACCCATCCCCGCTCATGCATACACAATCCTCTGCTGCCCCCGTCCCCGTGCATGCGCACGCGTCTCCCCCATGCACGGCAGAGCCCAAAATCAGCTGGCCGGCGGGAGGTGGAGCTGAGCTGGGGCAACAGCTCACATGCCCGCAGAGAGGGCTCGCGGGCCATCGGTTCACTATCACGGCAATAGCACTTAGGCTTCCATACCGCTTCACAGTGCTTTACCGCTCTCTCTTAAGCAGTTCTCAAATGGCAGCCTCTTGTCCCCAACACTCTGGGTCCTCATTTTACTGAGCTCAGAAGGATGGAAGGCTGAGTCAACCTTGAGCCAGTGAGAATCGAACTCTTGGCTGTGGGCAGAATCATCCTGCAATAGTGCATTCTAACCACTGTGTCCCCATGGCTCTCTCTGACTAAACTGGTTTGGATTCACACTTGAACTTGCTGGAGATGGTTGACGGGATAAGAAGACTGCTGCCAATTGCCTCCAATAGACCGATCAGATCCCACAGATTGGGCCTCCTCCGAATTCCATCCGCCGGCCAATGCCGACTG